CTTTGACCTTCATGTGCTAATGAGTTAGGCCATCTGTGTCAGCTTATATGACACTGGTAACTGTGGAACACTGACCAGACCCATTTCCTAGACCTGTAATACGGAGGACCAGTACCTTGGCTGGGGGTAAGTTCCTTGAGCAAAGAATACCTCACTGAGCCTTTTGGGGCACAACCAGCCAGACATTTCCTGGTGGCCCCCTTTCCTTTCCACAGGTCACCTTCAACATCCTACACATTCAGTCAGTCTGGGAAGATGTCCTCGAGGCAGAGGGCTTCCCCAAAACCCCTCTGTGTCAGGTTCCTGGTGAGATGGGGCATCTTAGCTTATGCTGCTGTGGATTAGATAATTCGATGCAGGCTTGGAATGTGTTGACTGGCGTACGTAGCAGACACTGAGAGCTGCCTGCCTGATACCCGCTCTCTGCTTCTTCCGGCGCCAGAATCCCGATTGTGTTCAGACAGCAGTGGGCCCAACCAGAGGCAGTATCTTTCTTGCCCTAAAGCAACAACCTTTTCCTGTAAAGGGCAACATAGTAAAATTAAGGCTTTGTGGGCCAAGAGGTAACTATCATCTAATTTTCACGTATCATGAAATAGTCTTTTGATTTTTTTCCCCAACGATTTAACAATGTAAAACTCATTCTTAGTTCGTGGGCTGAATTTGGCCCGCTTTGTGGACCACTGCTCTAAACCAGTGACTTCATCCTGTTTGGTACTTTACCAGTCTCCTTTGTGACCCCACAAAGGGACCCAGTTCTGGCCCATAAGACCTAGTGGAGGTGTGCTAGGGGAGGGGTGGTTCTGGGCAAGCTTTTATTATTTTGATAAAAGGAGGCAGATGCCACAGTCCAGGCCCTTCTCCGTTTTTGTCTGCCTTGAATAAGAATGTGTTATGGAGCCATTGATCATGATGAGGCAATAGAGAGGAGAAAAGCCAACACACCAAAGATTATGAAGCAAAGATAGAAAGAGCTTGGCTGTGTGAATGACAATGCCAACAACCACCTACCTTGTAACTTGTCAAGTGAGAAAAATAATGGCCCACGTTTAAGCAGCTATTGATCAGCTTCCTTATTCCTTGCAGCTGTGTTCCTAACTGATCTGGTGGGCTAGAGATGTCAATCACAATCTGCCCCGCCCCTCCCCCATCTAGGAGAAGTACCACCTACAGACACTGGTACCCAGACAGCTGTGTTTTGTAGCACATGACCTGTCCCACTACCATCTGCCTGCCCAGCTGTTCAGACTTGACCTCAAATTAGCCAATCCATAGGCTGGCCAGTGACCCATGACCCCTCTGGCTTGGCTCAAAAGATGAGCGGGACCAATCTAGGTCTCTCTCTCTCAGGTATGGGAACTGGGACTTCTTTGGTTTCTGGCAGGACAGAAAGAAGTGGATGCAAACAGCATGGTGGAGTCATGTGAATGGTGAACCCCCGGGAGGAACGTCCACAAATGTCACGGGTGAGGTCCCTGGAGCTGCCTCCAACGCATCCTTCCCTCCGGCTTCTGGCTCTGAAAGTTCAGCCTGCCGTGGCTCCAGTTCCTGGATTTCTTCTTAATTCCAAATGCATCCTGCGATTCCCACTTCCTTTGTCCCCACACCAAAGCAATTTGAGAATGTAGGCCGGGGTCCTGTTCAGCATTCTCATTGTTTCCCTGCTCCCGCCAAGGGGTTGGTGGGAGAAAAGAAGAAATTCCAGCCCAGACTGGCAGGAGAGCCGAGGGTAGCCCCCCTTCACAAAGGCGCTCCTCCCAGCACCACCTGGTCCACCAGGCTCCCCAGAGAGCTACTCAGGGCAGAGAGGCTGCGGGACCCATTTAGCCTTTACGAGCATCTGGTTTTGTGCTTCACTGGAGCCCCAAGAAGAAGAAGAAAAAAAAGGAAATTCTTTCCAAGCGGACGGTGAACATGTAACCCCCTGGGGGTGTAACAGGATGGGAACAGAAACAGGGTCAGGGGGGCACTGAGGAGCCAGAGCTCTGACGGATCACGGAGGAAAGGGCGACTGAGGTCCCGAACTTTTCCCCAGGACCTGTCAGCGCCTGGAGCAGGAGGAACTAAGGGCTTGTGGGGTGGTGGTGGCAAGTGGCCTGCAGGCGAGGGTGGGGCTCCAGGTGGGAGGGTTGGTGGGCTGGAGGGTGCTGGAGCAGGTGTTCCTGCAGAAGCCCAGGGTGAGCTGGCTCTCTGGCTCAGGGAGGATGCAGGCTCTAGCTCCTTGAGGACTGGTGGGACCAGCTGGGGTGAAGGTCTTGCAAAGATGGTGACATCGAGCCGGCCACCAGGTGGGCAACAGGGCAGTGTCCCAGGAAAGAGTCAGGGGGCTAACTCCACAGGTCTAGTATTTAATAAACACTCAACGCCCAGTCCTGAGCAGCCCCGGAGACAGAGAGCCCTCTCCCCTATGGTGGATGCAGATATGGATTGTATCAGTGGCCTCTAAGCCAGAATGACCTTAGTGTGAGCTACCACGGAGGCTGAGGGACACTCAGGGCTTAGTTCTGAGCAGGGAATCTGGGAAGGAGGTCTTGATGGAGAGTGGAGAGCTCAGGCCTGAAGCCTCAGCACCAGCAGCCCTGTCATGCCCACATGGAGCAGAGGGGACGGCTCTGCAGGAGGCGAGTGGGCTTGCATTTGGGCTGTCTGGAGGTCATCCAGGGGGACGGCGAACATACACATCTGGAGCCAGAGTCAGACCCCTGGGAGCCATTTATGTGCAAGCAGTCACTGACATGATCTGGAGTGGACGAGATTGGGTGACTTGAGTTGAGAAAAGGAAAAAGAAAACCCTGGGGGATACTTCAGGGCAGAGAGAGGCGCCTGCGCAGGAGGCAGAGAGAGTGAGTGTGGTCAGGGGACCGGAAGAGATCCCGGAGGGTGTGGCTCAGGCAGGGAGAACATTCAGGAAGCAGGGGGCAGCCACTAGCTAGTGTGGACTGCCGCAGAGACAGAGGGGAGGAGATGGGGAACGAGAAGGCCCCAGGTGACCTGTGAAAGCAGCCCTAGGGGATGCTGGGGACAGAGGCCCCTGAAAGAGTGTGGGAAGCAAGGCAAGATGAGTGGCAAGAGCCCAGCTGAGAGGGCAGCGGGCAGCCTGGCCAGGGACCCTGGGGGGAAGTAGGAATGCGACTTTCTAAGGATGGTGGGGGCAGAGGGGCTTGGGCGAATGCCAGTGTCCTTGGAGGCTTGCTCTGTCCCTGTCATATCTCACAGGACCATCCCCTTCCCACTCACAAACTCCTTCAGGCCTCACCCTGTCCCTTGAGGATTGTGGAAAGGAACTCCTACGCCCACTGTAGTGGGTCCTGAGAGCCCTCCCAACTCCCCCACTCATCTTGACATTTCCTAGGGGCCTCCTGGAGACAATGGCCCCATTTATCACACATCTCTCCGGGGCAGTCTCTCTAATCAGATATGTGGGCCAGGCCAGGGGGCTGTGGAACCTGAGGACCTAGGAAGCGGTGTAGTGAACGTGCTTATTTTGATGTCCCAAAATCTCTAGCCAGAGGCTCCCTCCTCCAGAAGGGCTGTTGCTACTCCCTCCATTCCTCTTGGCCACTTTGTGACCCTTTGCCATGTCCTGAGACCAAGGTCAGCAGCTCCGCACTTTATGGGCGATGAGAACAAGTCCCTAGATGCCTGTGCTGTGGCATGGCCCCTCGGGGGCTCTGCAGCCCTCCCCCATCTCCTGAAGCCTTGGTCCCCGGTGTGGGGGGGCACAGGAGGAGGCAGTTATATGCAGAAGGCTGGTGTGCCCAAGAGGGGCTTGATACTAGACATGTTTTGCTGATCGATCATTGTGCACAGAGAAGGTACTGGGCCAGCTGCCAGCCCTGCCGGCCTCCACTCCCAGCGGGTTATCCAGGGCAGGGAGGCCCCTCTAGATCCTCGTGGTGAAGGCTCCCTCCCACCCCGCTCCCTTGCCCCCCCTGTTGACCTCCTGTGGGCTCAATGCTCTGGCTCATGGGAACCAGTGTTCACCCTGCTCGGAGACCCTCCCCTGTCACTGAATCCCTGCCTGGGAGCCCAGTGTTCAATCCTCTGACACTGGGGTCTGCGCCCTCGCTGACCCCTGATTTGATGGACAGCCCCCACCTCTGGGAGAAGACTGTGGGGGCTGTCCCCCAATGCCCCCAGCTTTAGGGCTGAAAAGCAGGGCCCTCTTTGATGTGTGCAGCATGCTCTCCGCACCTGCCTTGAACTGCCCTTCCTGTGCCTCAGGGGACTGCCAGGCCTGAAAATCTAGAACCTGCTGAAACCTGAAAAGCCTAGACCCACGGTATGGAATGTCTGCTCCTGAGCCCAGACACTGACTGCCTTTTGACCTTGTAAAACTGGGGGGAGCAGTCTGAAATTCTGGTGACCTCTCAGATGACCTCCCAGTACACGATGGAGACTTTTGGCTCAAAATACTGGTCCATGTTGGGCCCAACAGCTGGCTCTTCCAGTTTTAGAACAATCCCACTCCAGACACCCCAGGGTATTGTCTAACCAGCTCTCCTTCCAAGGGTCCAGTGGCCCATAGTCATCACTGTCAGGCTTGGATACATGCCACTGATATTATCTAGCTAAAGACTGAACTACCTGCAATCTCTTGGGACTACCATAAGCGTTGGACATTTTATTCAAAGCTAACAAGCACAGGTCCTAGGTAGGTGTTCTCTCACTCACCATGTACACTTGTCTACTTGGACTTGTATATTCTTTCATGTAATGTTTCACCCATTTAACTGATGGCCACCTTCCTCACTGAGGCCCTCAGAGCATCACAAATAGATCTGGGGAGACTGACAAAGTGAAAATTTGTGCTTATGATTATGGTTGGTTCCCAAAACTAATCATGTGAATTTTAAAACCCAACAAAACCCCTGAGTCCTTTGATCATGCTAGAAGTCTCAAAGGACAGCAGCTATCAGTTAAAGAGACAATTAAGTTGAAACTAGAAAGGTGAACACAGACCCAATCTATCCTGTTGTGGGCCTTTAGTACTTGAAAGATTTTAGAAAAAAACCAAAGTAGTTCTTTATGGGTTATAAGCTAAAGAGGGACAGTTTGCACAGTTTGGACAAAATAAAGTACTCTTACCAATAAATATGTCTCAAAATGACACATAAAGCTCTCCCCATTTGATGGCTCTGGATCCCAGCGAGAAGTGATGGGCACAGGCACACGAGCTATGTACAGAGTGTAAACAGTAAGGCCCTTGGGGGAGGTGATGGAGGCAGGTCCAGGGGTGTGCGCGGAGGGGCTTGGTAGGGAGAGTGGGCCCATGGGTAAATACAACAGCCTGGTAGGACAGTCATCCAATCTGCCACCAAAGCTTGTGGGTGGCGGTGGCAGGTCCACGGGTTCCTCCAGTCGGCAGTAGGGAGAAATTGTGTCCATTGAGAAGCCCTGGCCCCACTGACTTTTCCCCTGGGGAAGCACTGGGGCAGCCAGGCAGGGCCTCTGTGCTCTCTCCTCCCCAAGAGGAGGGGCAGGCGCCTGTCCATACTTGGATTCGTCTATCCAGCGATCAAGGCATGGATGGGGCAGTGTTTCTCAAACAGGGTTTGGGAGCAAATGGCCCTGCGGAGCCCGCAGCCCCTTCCTCGGAAAGGAGCTTGGGACACCTGTGTGCAGGAGCAGCTCATATCTTTCCACCCTTCGGGGGCCCCAGCCCCTCCTCAGTTCCTCAGGGATGCCACAGTGCAGCCGCCCTGATCCATTTCCCAGGCCCTGATCCGCGCGGCCTCTTGAACAAAGCCAGCCTCCCTCTCCATGTCCCCCCCCCCACCCCCACCTCTTCCCCTCCCCCAGCGCGCTCCCCAGCCTAGCTCAGGGACGGTGGGGGTCCTTAAATATCAGTCTCTCGGAGGTTGCTGCAGTCGGCCAATTCGTAGGCCTGGCAGGTGGCGCCCTCGGCCACGTCGTGGGGGACGCCTAGGGACACGGCTTCCACCTCCGAACGCAGGGCGCACGCGGCCTCTGCGCGCTGCGCGCTCCCGGCGCGGATCTTGTGCGACAGGCTGGAGACCTTGGCTCGCAGCTGGGTGGTGGGTCTCCGGAACGGCCCGAGCAGCCTCCACTCGTGGAAGGCGCAAGGCGGCTTTCGACGGCCGGCGACCGGAGCCTGCGCCTCGGACGTGCCCGGAGAGCCGGGGGCCGAGGGCGCGGTGAGGGCCAGCGGTGCCCCGGGGGGCGCGGCGCCAGGGCCGGGGGCGCAGTCGGGGCCCAGCCCGCCGGTCGAGGCCCGCCAGTGGTGGCCGTAGACGCGCCAGAGGGGGCGGCGGCGCCGGCGACGATGGCACTGGCAGCGCAGGAGGCGGAGGAAGGCGCGCTTGAACTCGCGGCTGGAGCAGGGGTAGATGAGCGGGTTCACGCAGCTGTTGAAGTAGCCGAGCCAGAAGATAACCTTGAAGACGCCCTCGGAGGGCTTCAGGTGCGGGAACAGGGAGCCTGTGGGGAGCAGAGACTGACGCCGGTTAGAGGCTCCAGCAGAGGGGGGCGCAGGCAGCCCCTGGGCCCAAAGGGGCGACCCTCCCCACCCTCCAGGGACCCTGGCTGAGCCATCAACTAGGGGCTCTCAAAGTCTCTCTCCCCAAAGGGGTCCCTGATACAATTCGAGGATCCATGAACTTGGCTGAGGAAAAATAATCATCTTCAGTTCCACTCACATCTACCTGAAATTGAGCATTTCCCTTAATGATGAGTGTAAGCGGCGGACTGGAGTAGGGTTAGATGAGACCATATGAAATCGCCCTTTTAGTAGCTCAAAACTGGTGCCATGTCGGCAGTTTCATATGGTTCAGCCTAATGTGAACAGGTCTTTAGATATTTTCCTGTCACATTCAGTTGTTGCCGATATTCTGAAATATTCTCTATGCTCCTCCCTATTTGGGAATGACAGTCATTAGAACGCACCACTAGATCTTATTTACTGCCTTATTGTAGGAGCGTATTTATTACCACATCACAAATTTCACGTAAAAATATTTTGACAAGGTTGTCACTGAAATTGGTTTCATCTGAATCCTTCGTGTGCATTTGAAAATGTGACTCTGAGAAGGGCCCCACAGGCTTCTCCAGATGCCTAGACAGTCCCTAGCACCTAAAGCGTTAAGAACCTCTGAATTAAATGTGCCCAAGGCTTGCCCCATGCCTGGCCCTGGGCTGGGCTCACATCAAACATGGCCTTGCGCCCTTGGTAGCAATGTGGATAAAATATCATGGGAACGCAGGTGGGGTGATGGTGGTGCTTAGGATGTGAGTGTCAGATAGGGGGCTTCCAGGGGTCTCACAGGAGCCAGCCAGGATGAGGAGAGGCAGAGGGTGTTAGGAGTGGAAGGGGCAGGTGGGGACAGGTGGGCAAGAAGATCTGGGGCCTGGGAATGACCTGTAGGATTCGCTCAGAAAACTTCATTTGGGACAAATGGTGAAGGGCCTTAAACGCTGGGAAGTTCAACTTTCACTTTGTGGGTAGTTAGGAGCCATGGACGTTTTTAAGCAGGTGAGAGAGCGAGCCTAGAATTAAGCCTCAATAAGCACAATGCCCATGGGCTGTCGAATGCAGGACAGTGGGGCTGTCTCAATGGAGGTGGTCAGGGAAGCTTCTGGGATAGATTTGACGGGGCAGAGTGCCAAGCAGGAGGGGTGGGGGCGCTGGGGTCTGAGCTGTTCCAGGAAGACCCTCCTCCCCACAAACCTCTCCCCTGGCATCCCTCCCACAGACCGAAGGAGTCATGTTTCCAAAAGGCACCTGACAAAATGCAAAGATCCAGGAAGCAGAGCTCACTCTGTCATCCTCACTCATCCTCAGCAGTAGCAGGGGCAAGGGGTAGATGGCAGGGACGTCCCATCCTGGGCAGAAGCTGCAGGTGACAGGCTGAGTGAGCCAGGGGTAGGGTCCTTGACAAATCATGGGACCTGCTCTCTCTTCCCCTTGCCTCAAAAGAACTAAGAGCAAGGTCCCCTACGGAGGGGGCGCCATGCCCCCCTTTCTGACCTGGGGGCCCTTGCTTATCACCAACCTCCCACCATCTAGAGAGTTCCTGGTGCTAAGAGACACTGTGGAGAAAGAGGAGGTCACAGAGCATCGCAGGGAACAGGCCCTTCAAACCCTGGTCATGCAGCCCTGAGCAAGTGTTTTGGCCATCTAAGTCTCAATTTCCTTTCCTTGAAATACGGGCAATAATATTTCCCTGGAAGGGATTTTGTGAAGATTCATAAATTGCAGGGCCCAGCACTTAGTAGGCTCTTAACAAGTACTGGTGTCTATTCACTCCCCCCTCCCTATTTCTGTGGCTTTTGTGAGAGGATGTGGTGTGTCAGGGTGTGTCAAGGAGACAACTCCAAGGGCAGTTGTCCCTGGAATGTGGGGGCCACCAGGGTTGACCTCAGCCTCCAGGAAGGTGGCCCTCGGAGCAGCATCCCTCAGTGGCTGCACAGTAAGACAGAGTGCTGAAAATAACTTTCTGACTCAGGCCACAATTCTTTTATATTTAGCCCAGGATGACAAATCAGTGGACTATGCTTTCAGCAGCGAGCCTGAAGCTGGCCAAAGGGCATTGTTATCAGCGTGGTTTTGATTCAGATGGGTGGGCGCCACGGCATATCGTAGTGTGGCCTGGGCCTTGTTGTAAATATTAATACTCTAATTTATGCTCAACCGACCTGTGCAGAAGCCCGCTGCGAGCTGAGAACTCCTTACATACAAAGGAGCTCGGATTCAAACTCAGCCTTTCAGCCCCAAGCTTTTCCTACTGTGTCCTGATGAGGTTCTGTCTTACTTTGGCTCTCCTGGAAGCAGGCCTGGAGACACGAATTCAAATTCGAGTTGTTAATTTGGGCGGTAAACGAAACACCAGAAGTGGAGTGGGAAAAAGAAACAGGGAAGAGAAGGAAGCCAATAAAAGGTGAGTTATCAAGTTAGTCACCACTGTGGGCAGCTGGGGCGTATCCTACTGGGAGCTCTGGGAGACTGGAGAACAGGAACCTCAGTTATCCCCCCAGTGGGGTGAGGGAGGTGGGCATCCATACACCTGTTCCCAACAGTCATTGGTTGGGCTGCTCCCTCGGGTGTTAATTTTCCTAACATCCTGCCTACTGCCTGGGCGGACGGTGAGGATCCTGGTGGTCAGAGAAAGCCTCTGGGCAAAGAGATGCAGGCAGGTGCTCGGATGGAAGGTGACCCATGTGCAGGGGAGATGGACGGGGAACTGACAGCATCTGCCACAGCCTTGTTTCATCTCCTCTCTGCCCACTGGGTGTGGACATCTTGCCTGGAAAATACAGATGTCTGTGCCTTGGGCTGCAGCTTCCACAAGCAGCAGCTACTTTGTTCCTCTCGCAGATGGCAGTTCTGAGCTCACACCCACCTCTGCCCAGAGCACTGCAGTCTACCCCTGATGCCTCCCCGCACCCTGCCTCCCTCTTCCTGCCGCCCTCAGCACTCTCTCACCAGCCCACAGCCTCTTGCAAGGATCTCTGGGGTCACAGGGGGTTGTGGGCATTTCCCTCCCCTTTGCATGCCACAGATGAGATGGGTAACTGCCCTGAGACCCCTGACAGTGGGCACTTGGCTCACGGGCATTGTTCTGCAATGCTTCCTGCTGTAGGGGCATCAGTGAACAAGTCCCTTCTCAGCCACTCCCAGCTTTTTCCTCCCCCAGCCACGCTGAGTGATGGCTACTCAGGTTGACTAGTTGCCTCCCCTGTCTTGCATTCTCATCCCTCTCCAGCTGCCTGGCACACGCCTTTGCCAGCCCCCCAGTAGCCCAGCTACAGGAAAGCCTCAATGGGCAGGTGGGGGCTCTGAGACAAGGCCACTGTCTCAGTACCTGGCAGCTCGCTTCTCTGCCTCAAGCTGGCTCCCTCTCTCACTCCTCACCATCATTCACAGCCTTTCTTGTGGGGATGAAGCCCAGTGGTGCTAACTCAGCTTGGCAGATGTCAGTGGAAACAGAGGCCGTCGTGGGATGCCCTCCCACCTCTCCACCCAGGCCCCAGCATCACCCTCTCGCTCTCCTTTCTCTTGTGGCTCCTGCTTCTCTCTGTAGTCTTACTTCTCTCATCAAGTGCATCAGCTAAGTGGCCACACTGACTTCTCGCTGCTCTCTGGCCGCAGCAGGCTCCCCATCTTGCCTCTGAACTTTTGCGCATGCTCATCCTAGAGCGCCCTTCCTCTCTCCACCAGGTAGTGCCAGCTCCAGTGGCACCTCCTCCTGGAAGCCTTCCTTATACCACCCCCTCCCGACCCAGCAGTTAGTTGTACTCCGTCCTCCCCTCCAGCACATCTACTCCCTTCTAAGTGTCAAGAACATTGCAGGTAACTGTCTTATCCTTAAGTGGTAAGCTCCCCACATCACGTATGGCACATCGTAGGTGCTTACTACATCCTGACCCCTCTCTTTCTATGATACTCTGCATCCTATCCATCACTAATCCTTATTGGTCCCGGAATCCCCCCACTGTGCACCACCCCCTGTTACCACCCCAGCTCCCAGCTCCCACCATCATCTACCTGCGGTGCCTTCTAAGTGGGCTCCCTGCTCCCTGTGCCCCTGCACCCTGCTCCCCACACAGCAACTGGGGGCATCCTTTTAAAACATAAACCTGAGCCTCTCATTTTTTCACTTAAAACTCATTTTCCATTGCTGACTGCAGCTTCCTGTTCCCTCTCTCTCTCTCATCTGTGCTTTGACCTTCTGCCAGCCCCTTGGATTTCTCCTGTCCTCTCTGCTCAGCTGAAACTCCTACTCGCTCACACCTGAGCTGTTCTCTTCTCAATCCTCCCACGTCCGCGTCCTTCTGGACTTGGGTTGTACTTATCCAGACAGATCCTAACTCTGGAGCCATTTGCCTACTCCCTGGGCTCCCACCTCAGCTGGGTGTCCTGGGTTTCCAGCAATCGCACTGCCTATCCTCAGCCCACTCTCCCCTGCTCTGGCACCGGCTCCCGTGAGCCTTTACTCCTCTCCAAGCCTTGCGGCCGCCCCTTCGCCTTCTCCAGAGCAGCTGATCTCGCTTTCTGTTTCACAGAGAAAACAGAAGCCAAAGAAGCTGGGCTTTCGCTCAGACCTTCCCCACCTGCCTTCCTCCTTGGTAAGACCTTTCTTACCACCCGAGGTTAGCGTCCCTGCTTCTGTTCTGGAGCTCTCGATCTGCCAGTCACCGGGGAGCTTGCCTCTGTCACAGCTGCGCCCTCATTCCTCCCACCCTTTCCGTCCACACCTGCGGTCTCCTCTTCGCATCTGCTTTTCGCTCTTCACTCCATTGCTCTGCTCCACCCCACCCAGGCCCCCAACCTGCGGATGCTGCTCTTGTCTCATCTCGCTGTGGCTCCCATGGCGCCGCTCCTGGATTTTCTACTCTGTGTCAGTTTCCTTTGCTGCTTCTCCCTCACGTCCCCATGCTAAATGTAGGAGTGCCCTTTGAGAAGAGTCTTGTAATCTCTTCTC